TCAGTACGTATAAATAAATTTTGAAATTACAGAATATAAGTAATTAACTCAATTTATAATCAAGAATGGTGTTTAAATATGGCTTTACAGAATTCACCCTCTTTTTTCCAAAAGGCCTAAATTAATATTGCTCAACGCCTAAATATCGTCCAAATTGCCGGCGAAAGATTCGTCTGACTAAAATCTTGCCTCGCTTAAAGCTACCTTCGATTGAGTTGACTTTCACTATTTTCTCTTCTTTTTTATTAAAGGGGTTATAAAATTTCTTTTAAAAAAAGGAGGCGTGGGTTTATTATTCACGGTGAATGGACCATTTCCTTTGTTTTTTTTTTTTTCTTGAATAAAATAAATTTGAGCTTCTTATTTTATATGTATATATTTTTTAATACAGACATTCCCTCCTAAACCTAATTTTGGGTTGAATAGACGACACTAGAAAGTAGAAAGTAGAAACCCTCCACTCTTTCCTCTGTCATCTCGACATCTCCTCGTTGTTTTACTGCGTGGCTGTTGAGCTGAGTGAGGCCCACAGGGACAAACATAGCAGCCATATGATATGATATGAACCCATCAATTATTTTCCCCACTTGGATTTTCCCTTCCAGAATAAAATCGCGTGGATTCTGGAAAAGCATCTATTTTTTTATTTTTTTTTTTAATTTTTTCATTCCCCAAGTTTTCCGTCCAGTTTCCGGTTTCTAATTTCCATCCCATGTGCTGCCAGATGGAGAGTCTCACCTCTAGGCTGTTCAGCTGTTGCTGGGGATCATTCTACCGAACAAAATTATATATTAATGAAATAAATAATTGTCATTTTATTAAAACACCCCCTGTATTTTATGAAATTATCTATTAATTTGTATTTAGTATAACACCCCTTGAGTTTGTGACCAATTTACTTAGGGTCCATTTGATTCCCTCGAATAGGTGCCTAGAATCAGAATATCGTAATGGTCTGTTTCAATTTCAACTATTTGTTGGGCTAGAATAGGATTCCCTCATATGGGAGAATGGCCATTTTAGATTCCTTTTAAAGGAATGGATTTTCATACAAGTCTATCAAGAAATAAAGAATTCATAACAAAAAACCCCAAAAACTTTAATATTAATAAAATAATAAAATATTATTAAATTAATAATATAGTAATAATAAATATATTCATAAATTCTTAACAAAATATTAATAGAATAATAATAAAATATTACTAAATAAAAAAATATATTATTTATTAAATAATAATTAGGTATAAATAAAATATTAACATATTAATTATTAAATAATAATCATTTAATTTTAAAATAATAAAACAAAAACAATAGAATATTAATAAACTCAAATATAATAATAATAATAATAATAATAATAATAATAATAATAATAAATGCAATAGAATAATGGATTATTAATAAAATATAATAATAAAAATACTATTAAAGTAATAATAAGATAATAATATATTAATAAAATATTTATAGATTAATGATAAATATTGAGATAATAAATATTAAATACTAATAAAATAGTAATAACAAAGTACAAATAAAATAAAAATTATATATTCATAAAATATTAATGAAATAATAATGAATTAATAAATAAACTAATACAAATTGAAAATTTTCAATTGATTCCAATTTTAACTCCAAATGAACCAAATAGCAACAATTTGAATTTGATTCCAATTCCTAATTGAACTAAACAAACAAGTATTAGGAATAGGTGATTATAATTCCGATTCCTGGGAATTTCGATTATGATTCTGATTCCAATATTGTTTGCATACCAAACGGACCCTTAATTGATATTTTGTAAGATGGGAGTGGAAAATAATGGTTTTGACCCTAAAATCCATTTGAACAAATTTAATCAAAAGAAAGATAAAAATGAAATATCGTCCTTGCGCCTACTTACACACAGGCAACTACTCCGTTTTATTAGTTTTATTCTCTATACACTATTGCAGATAAACCAAGACACCATTATTCTCTTTTATTCTTTATTCTACTAGTCAAATGTTGCTTGGTACATTTGAAAACCAAACATTGTTTTTGTCTAAAAATTTAACATGAAAGTTATATTTGGTTTGAAAGAAAAGGTAAGGAAAGGAAGGGAAGTATAAGGAAATCTATATAAGATTTGTAAAGGTTTCCCTATACTTTTTAAATAAACAACCATGGGTCAAGGACTTTAGACATTTTTCACTTAGTTAAATGGTCAGGAGTAGTGGTGGATTTGAGCAAAGCTAAGTCGAATATCTGGTTATTCGAGTTCAACTTGCCAACAAGCTATTAGGCTCAAGCTCGAATTTGGCTTGAGTCAAAAGTTCGTAAATTCAAGCTCAACTTGGCTCGAGCTCGACTGTGAGCCAAAAGTTTTATAAAAACAAAAAAAAATTATTTTATTTTGACATATAAAAAATAGTTATTATTATATATATAGTAACAATATTATATAAAATATTTTATTATGTAATATATATATATATATATATATATATATATATATATGTATATGTAAAATCAAAATTAGGCTTATGAGCCGAGCTTTATTGGCCTTGAACTAGTTCAATTAGCAAATAAGCCTATATATTAAGCTTGAACTCAATTTAGGCTTAGTTAAATCGAGCTTTTCATGAATCGAACTCAAATATCTTATAAAAAGCTGCCACTAGACATTTTTAAATGATAATATTAAGGAGGTTAGGTTGATTAAGCAAATTGATTGAAACCTCCACATTTAACATTGACTTCCCCGTGGAGCTGATCAATAATAATTATAACACAACCACCATATTCTCTCTCTCCGGCCCCCATCAACAAATAAAAAATGTGAGGACCACCAAGTTGGGAAATCTGACCAAGAAAAAAAGAAAAAGAAAATCTCTTTTCATAACGCTTAACCATGGAAACCTTACTCAAGGCTGTAACAATTACGAGGGTTAATTTGATTGTATGTCCGTGAGACAGATGCGTATCAAGAATTGCAGAACATTAATGCAACTAAAATCAATCACCAAGGTTGTGTTTGGTATTATTAATGTTTCAATTTGCAATATTTTGACTTAAAACGTCATATATACTTGAAATACAAACACCACCATTCGTACCTGAATTATGGTGAAAACTTGTGTTTCTCATCCTAACTTTGATGTTTCTTGACACACCCCCAACAGGCCAACAGGAATTACCATCATCCTCATTACCGTCATTCGTCAACACCACCCAAGCCTTATCTGACAATACGGAGCCGGCTAGATTTCTATGAGAAGTATTTTATAAATTTTAAACTCAAAACAGATCTCAATCGAAAAGAAATTTGACCATTATATTCAAAATGCCTATCTGGCTGATGTGACCACGTTTTATACTTAAAACACCAACGATACCTCTAAGCTCCCTCCTAATTCGAACTAAAAAGAGAAAAGAACTGTTGTTTAGCCCAACTTTTAATCTTCAATTCCATTTTAGGACACCAAACTTTTAATGTGGAAAAATTCAATCCTTGAAAATCTAATTTCACTTTGGGACAAATATCATAATTAAAATAATATATTACTAAAATATGGGATATTTTTTAATTATAATCCAAACAATATTTATAATATCAAATAAATTATATATTTGAAGAGTATATCATGGGTTTGAAAATCGGATTGGATTGGATGGTTGGATCAGAAAAATTAGAAACCGGTTAAGTAATAAGTTCTATTTCACCCTAAAACTGTTTTTTAATAAAAAATTATTGATTTGATTAACGACCTGTTGACCTTGGTGATTGAATTGCTGAATCGAACAACTGTTTTTATTCTTTTTTTTTCAATTTTTAAATCATAACAAACCATCTATTCGAATCAGATGGTCGGACCATTTGACATGGGAACCGGTCTCAGAACAGTTCTCTGTCAGGTCCGGTTTTAAAAATCTTGGAGTATATAACATAACATTTTATCTCCAACTGAAATATAATTTAAAAAAGACAATATTTCTGGCAAATCAAAATCAAAGTTGAATGTCGTGAAGCAAAAACCGAGCTGTAAAGTGGGCCTGCAAAATACTTTTGCAAACAAATAAGAACGGTGCCCATCTTCATCAACCGGCGGTAGCACTATCAGGATGGAAACAGATTTGAGATTTCAGCTCGCTCTCGCCTCTTTCACGTTGAATCTTCTTGGGTCGTTTTTAAGTTTTAACTTTTAACAAGTCCACTCCACCATACAGGGTCAGGGCATTCATTTATTTCTCAAGCCTTAGGTAATAACTACCAAAGCAGTCACCGTCAGTTAGAAATCCAACGGTAGAAAATAAAGTGGATCAGGGCATCAAAGGTCGTAGGTGGAACGGCGGATGCTAGCGTCACGGCGTGATTTATCAATGACGAGAACAAGCTAGCAAGTGGGCCAGTCCCACGTTTTAAGTAGAATTTTTAAGATATTTTATTAATTGTACAAGGTCTGACTGACTTTGGTTCTTCGAGTCTTGGAATTGGAAGAAGGAAGTAAGGAACCACTGGATAAAAACGGTGATATGGTAGTTGCTGGTTGCCGCAAAGCAATAACAACTGATGAAGAGATAAAAAAACCTTTATCGCAATTGGCAAGCAAGCTCCGGCCTCAAGTCTCTCAACTCTCAACAAAAAACAGGGACCCACCTATATGGGAACGTTTGCGCGTTTGCTGACGGAAACAGGAATTCCTCCAATAATGTATTAACACGTGGACAACTGCCAGATGCTCCCATTACATCGTCGACTAGCTGTCCCCATATCAGCGAGTTTGAACTTTCAAAACAAAACCTACCGGGTGGGTGAGTCAGTGAGTGTGATCTGCTGAATCCATCAGCTCCGATCAGCTAGCTCGAGCCAATCGCGCCGTTGGATTGAGTAGATATGTGGAAACGCGTATTATTATGGTAGCTAATGATATTACTGTAAACTTCACGCTGAGAGAGCTTCTCAGACAATAACACAAAATAATAGTTATAATTAGAGTAATAATAAAAGCCATCCTGAAAAAGAGTACAACTCTCTCTCTCTCTCTGGAGCTGGGGCTGAGCTGAACAGAAGAATAACTAATTTTCTTCTGCTGTATTTTCAAGACTACAACCAAATCTCTCCCGTTTTCCAATTAGACTCCATTCTTCCGATTGCCACTTGCCCGAAGTTTCAGAGCAGAGTTAATCTTCGGCCAACTTTCCGGCAATGCTGATCTCTCGTCCTCTTTTTCTTCTTTTGGTTCTTCACTCAGCTGTTCTGATCACTTCTCAGAGATCCAGTACTAACAACAGTACCAGTCCATGGCTGACGTTAAATGGTCTGTATCTTTTTCCTCCTCCTCCTCTTCTTCTCTCTATCTCTCGCTTCGTTTCTAAATGCTTGGTTTTAGTTCTTCACTTTGATGGTCGAATTCTGAGGTTGTTACTTCGTTGCTTATGTTGTTTGGTTGTTTTTCTTTGGGGAAATGCTGGATAATTTTGTGATATGAACAAAAAAAAAGGAGAAAAGAAGAATCTCGGAGGACGATTTTGTTTGCTGTTACTGTTTTAATTTTGTCTCGGATTTTGGTTGAGATAAGACGAAAGATTTATGGGAAAAGAAATCTCTTGAGAGAGTTCTTTGTCAGAAAATTGATTATTTCTTTTTTGTATAAACGTGCTTTTTTTGGTTTTGTATTTTCTGAGGAAAAGCTCAAGCGGTATACGTATGTTGTGAAAAATGGATGATTATGGCTATATACGAGCAAAGTTTTTCCTCCTTGGGTTCTTTTTTTTTTTCTTGAAAATATTTTCTTTTTAGTGCTACGGTTAAAAGACAAAATACAATAAAAAAAGGTCATCTTCCTTGTTATCCGTCTTCTGTTTGAAACCATCTTGGCTGTTGTATGTGAGTGGGGTTGTAGTCCTTGTTTAGTCCTACATCAAAGTGCATTTTCTTTTACTTCCATGTGTGATAGTATTGATACTTTATTGTGATCATACTCTATCATTCAAGAGTTATAAATCAACTAAATAAGAACCTCAAGTGAAATTTGAATTGCTACACATCTAAATTCTGGAATTATCGCAAATCTCCACTCTCACTTCCCAAGCAGCAAAGTGTTAACAAACTTTTAGTGCCTTCGACCCAACCTTTGAATGAGAGTAAGCTTGCTGCCCTTTAACAAGTATCTTACCTTCCCCTTGATAAGTAACCCTTTGAGAGTTGGGAGCCTTATTTATTTATTTATCTATGTTGTGTCTGATTGGAAAGTTTTCTTCATCTTTTTTGATGATTTATGCTTGTAAAGAAGATATGCAGAGATAATAATCTTTTCTATTTAGTTGGTCTGTGCACCTAAACCATTTCTTGTTATCCCTTCAAAATTTGGTAGATTGAATGCCAACTGCCCAATGTTAGCTAGATTTTTCTTGTATGCATATTGTTATTGCTCTAGTCTTTTTTAGAGAACTATTGAATGAGGCAGGCCTATTCTATTGGTTACTGTTTGCAGGGAAAGCACCTTTAGTCATAGCTAAGGGTGGCTTCTCAGGGCTTTTTCCAGATTCTAGTTATGCTGCATACAGTTTGGCAAATATGACCAGCTTAAGCAATGTGATCTTATGGTGTGATGTGCAACTGACAAAGGATGCAGTTGGAATATGCTTTCCAGATCTCAAGCTAGATAATTCTTCTGACATCGCAAATGTTTTCAAAAATAGTACTGTCTACCTTGTGAATGGGCAACTTATGAAAGGATACTTCCCTGTGGACTATACTCTGAATGACTTAGCAAATGTTTACTGTAAGTTCAACTTCTTTGAGTTGTTTCTAATCTAATAATAGTATTCTATGCATAGATCCAGAAATCCTGAATGAGATTTTTAAATTCTCAACAGAACGAAATCATACTGTTTCTCCTTTTGGACAATTTACCATTTTTAGATCTAAATTGATTGTGTGTGTTTCTTTATTTTGTTTTGAGTTCAATTATGTCATAAATTAGATCTCGTTGCAAGTTTATTATTAATATACTGCCATAGCCTGATATGTTTTGGCTGCATATGGTACTGCAGACTAGAAATAGGGTTCATTTTGAAAGTAGAAGCTGTTTTTATTGGCGAAGGCTTCCATCTTTCTTAGTTTAGGAGGGTCTTCGAATGATACTAAAAGGAAAATTCTCTAAGGCAGTTCTAAGATGGCATTGCTACATGGGACAGAGTGCTGTTCAATCAAGAAATATGTTGAAAAATGAGTGCATCTGAGATAATGGTGTTGGGATGGATGAGTGGCAAGACTAGAAAGAACAGAATCAGAAATAAGTACAGGCTGAAGTAGAGGGGACTTAAGAGTAGTTCCAATTACAATTAGTCACAAGTTGAAGGAAAGTTAACTTGGAAACAGCCTCTCTGTGTATCTGCAGGGGTAAGGCTACATACATCTGTTCCTCCCCAGAGCCTCATGCACTGGGCTGCCCTTTTCTTGGAAGGAAAGTTGACTGAGATGGTTTGGTTGTGTGTATAGATGACCAACAACTGAACCAATGAATAGTGAATTGGCACAAGAAGGCTCTGAAAGAACTAAGAGAAGACCCATGAAAATTTAATCTGAAGGGGTAAAAATATTATTTAAAAACTTATAAGTTGAAAGAAAACATGGCTTTTGATGGATCACAATGGCGGGGAAGATTTCATGTAGTGCACCACAAATAGTTTGGACTTAGTCTGAATTGAGTTGTGGAGAGTAGTGAATTGGTGCAAGAAGAAGGCTCTAAAAAGAGCTAAGGGAAGACCCAAGAAAATATGGTCTGAAGAGGTAAAAATTTTATTTAAAAACATAGTTTGAAAGAAAATGTGGCTTTTGATAGAGCACAATGGTGGGACAGGTTTCAGTAAGTAGCTGCTACCAAGAATCTGTTGTGGAGTTTGTAAAATGCTGGAGGATCCAAGGCTTGAGTAAGAGAGGGAGGTTAGTTTGAAACATTGTTCTCGTAGTGGCCTTTTGGTGTATTTGGTAGGAGAGAAATGCCAGGATATTCAAAAATAGGGGAGTCTTTCCAGATTTTGTATCCTAAAAAAATCTTGGAGAAGATGTTTTCTTGGATGGTTATTCACAAGCTGTTCAATAGAAAATATATTGCCTTTTTTGTACATGTCTGGTTTGGAAACTCTCCCCTTAAGGTTCAATTCCCCTCCTTTTATCCTTTTTCAAACCGTAAGGGTGAGCCTATTTCATTGTTCTTGGTTCCTTTTAATCCAAGGGCTGGGTTTGATTGGGACTTGGGCTTCAAAAGGGATTGTTGGATTTGGACCTTATCTACCTCTGGTCTGAAATAAGTAGTGTATTACATTTGTTCCAAGGTCTTGAAGGGGTGTTCCTGGATCCTTCAAAAAGGAATAACTGGATTTGGACCTTATCTACTTCTGGTTCCTTTACTTTTGCCTCTTTCTTTTTGTTCTTGATACAACTGACTGAAGCCTTGGAGTTCCTTTCCCTGTTAAGGAGATTTAGAGTAATCCTATACCACCCAGAGTGAGAGCCTCGAGCCTTTTGCTGGGAAGTTCTTTTGAAAAGAATTAATATCTATGACTTATTGCAAAGAAAAAGACCTTATTGGTGCTTATCTCCACACTGGTGCTATCTCTGTAAGGCCAATGGTGAGATTTGCTATCACTTATTAATCACCTGCCCCTTTGCTTGGAAATTTGGGATTGGTTTTGCTCCTTATTTGGGTGTAGGTGAAACCCTCTGCCAAATGTTCAAGGCATGTTTGCCTATTCTTTTGTCATTTGGCCAAAGAAGAGGGGAATAACCATAGTTGTCAAGACGATGCCTAGGCGGGCGCCTAGGCAACAAGGCGCCCTTTGAGGCTCGCCTTGCCTAATTGCCAAGTAGTTTTCTACTTCCTGCTATAAAATACTTTTTTATTCATTCTTTTTGAGATTATAATTATAAAATAAATATTATTAAACTAAAATAATCATTTTGTGTGTTTATATACTAGTTTCTTTTTATTATTTTCTTATTTTTTAGGGTTTAATCAACACAGACATTGCTAAATTCTGTATTGAACCCTCAAAGACTTAAAAACCTGAACCAATAAGTAAGGAAGAACTTAAAATTTTATCTAATCAGGGCACACTTTCCTCTTCCATATATTCTTTTTCTACTTCTTCTTCTTCTTCTACTACTACTACTACTACTACTACTACTACTACTACTACTACCAATACTTTTTATTTTCTTCTTTTCCTATAACAAAAATAAGGGTTCAGCCCCTATATTTTTTGAAATTTCCTTCTTCCTTTTCTTCTCATGAATATGTTGATTTTCTATACTTTAATANTCTTCCTTTTCTTCTCATGAATATGTTGATTTTCTATACTTTAATATGAAATTTATACTTTTCTTATGAAAATCATGAATAATTATTAAAGAAATATGGTTATGGTACCTAGGAAACTACCCTAGGATCTATGTTTTTAACATAAAAAAATCCATCGCCTAGGCGCCCGCCTAGGCGACTAGGTGACAAGGTGCCCCCCAGTCACCTAGCCTCGCCTTGGCGCCTTGAAAACTATGTGAATAACTCTATGGAGCTGTAAACATGCAACTGTTTGTTGGACAATTTGGGAAGAAAGGAGTAAAGAAACCTTTTCTTAGAAAGAGAGGAGTAGGGATGCCTTAATTGAAGTCATCACTATTAGAGTGATCCATTGGGTGAAATCCCTGAAGCTTTTTGAGAACATTCCTGCTTGTGACCTTCCGATAAATTGGAAGGAAATAGCTGATTCTACACCTTTCAAGGATATTGTTAGGCCATCTTGGTCTCCTCCAGTGGTTTTATCAAGTTGCATTTTGATGGTAGTAGTGAAGGAAATCCAAGTCCTTCAAGGATTGGCAGTGTTTTCAGAAATGATAAAGGGAAAGTTATTGCTCTCTACACAAGTCCAACTGGGGTGGGTGACTTGTTAAGGGCTAAAATATTGGCTGTCATGTCATGGAGGGAATCCAAAACTCTAAGTAGTAAGCTGTCAACATAAGGGGATTCAAAGCTAGTTATAAATTGTCTTCAAAAGCAAGAGGAGATTGGATGGTGGGACTTTATTTATGAAAAAAGAAGAATTATGTGGCTTTTACAAGGAATGAAAATTGCTTTTCAATGGGTGAAAAGAGATGCTAATTCGTTTGCTGATACTTTAGCCAAACAAGGGGTGGGAAGAAATTGGCTGTTTTGGGCATTGTTGTAATTTGTGTTCTAGTTGGGAGAGCTAAGAGAGCTTATTGAATTTAATGAATCTGATTCAGTTATTGATAAAAAAATTGTAGTGCTTCCTGGGCAATTATTGTGTGTTCCCTGTTTATAGCCTCTTATTGTACAGGGATGCTTTTGTTTTATTAATGAAATTCATAAATTGGTTCTGGAGAGAGTGATGGGAGTAATAAAGTTAAATGGTGGCTTATTTTTGTTTCTGTTTCATTGCAAGGAAGATGTTGAATTGATTCTGGAGTTAAAAAGTTCGAAGGTGTAGGATTTTGACTTTCGATTAAGTTGGTGATTCCCGGTGGCAGGGGTGATAAGTGAAGGGAGAAGAAGATGTGTGGTGTAGTTAGGAGTGATGGGGATACCTCTTCATGCTCCGAGTTTTCTCACTCCTATGTATATGGAGCAAGATGGCTCTCAACTATTGTTTTTCTTTCCCTGCAGTAGGTCTGTAAGACTGGTATGGTGTTACTACTACTGATTGTAAAGGGTCTTAATCTAGCGCACTTTATTAAAGGCAGTAAGGTCATCTATAATGCCATCTAGATAATGTGCTGTAGATCATATTTCAAACCTTTTGGTCCATTGGATGATAGAATTGCCAAATCACCAAGCACTGTGAAAGTGTCAAACTTAGTCTCAAAGCAATCCCTGACCCAGTAGGAAGGATTACCACCTCTCAGCTTTGATGGCTTTTGCATCCCTAATTTTCTGTTGAAAGCTAAAATGTTAGATCCATGCTAATCTGCGAGAAAATGAATAAGAGGATCTGAACAAAGTTCCTTTGAAGGGCTTTGTTTGAAATAATTATGAATTCCTTGCTCATGTTGGGATAAGGCATGGATGATGATGATGATGATGAATTCCTTGCTCACCAAAGCCCAGAAGTTGGCAAGGAAAAGAACACTATCTCTTAAAGCTTCAAAAGATGCTGCACCCATCAATGAAGAGTTGCTATATATATATATATTTTTTTTTGATAAATAAGAGTTGTTATATTTTCCTTATAAATTTGCAACCAAACTAGCTAATCTATCAATAATGGAATTCATCTAACTAAAAATCCATATTAATAAAGCAGGATAAACTTGAAAGCAATTTAATCTCGTTCAGCATGTAAGATAATTGTCATAGAAATCCTTCCAAAACCTTTGCCCCATCTGATTGCTTTATAGAAATCCCCTTCAATCTAGAGGAGATGAGGACCTTCACAAGGTAACAACCCCAAGGCCAAAGAGAAGGCCATCATCTCCAGCTTGGTGGAATCTTTCTTGCCAACAGAGCCACTAATGTTACCTTGTTTTCGTCCATGTTAGGTATATAATGCCCATTTCCTGATGGACCTTTGCTCTACCAGAACTGATTTTGAATCTCACTGTCAGTGGACCCCCCCCCCCCCCACAACCCCCTAGAAAAAAAAGAATAAATACATAAGTGTTCACTACAATCCAAAATGATATGATAGAAGACTTTGGAGATGGAGTAAGGACGGAAGTTTCTCAGTGAGATCTTTCTATAAATGGTTGGCTAGCTGCGAGGAG